CGGAAGTCGTGAGCTGCTTGAGTCATATGTAAAAGAATCATTTCTGGCCACTCCCAAGTGAATGGCGATCAGAAAACTTTCCTCACTTGCGTGAACTTCTACACATGTCTCCATCCTCCAAGTGTTTACATAACAGCTAAAAATTGAACACAAAACCAAGTGTTACATCCGATTTGCCTCAATTATGTATACATTTCTTTCAGGAATCATGCATTATCGCCAGAACAAATGTTTTTGCTTACATTGCGGTTTTATGCTACGGAAAGTACAGGGTGGCTGATGAATTTTGCTACATTAAGAAACTCAAATAATTTTTTTTTTCAAYGTATGGAATTCATTTTTCTTTTATTCATGTTAAAGCGCATTCAATTTTATAAAATACAGCTTTTTAAAAATAATGGAATTTAAATGCCCCCCCTGCTCGTTGATGCATGTGCGGCATCTTACCAAAAAGTTGTTCATTCCTGCTTGGAGAGTTAAGACAGGAATAGCCGCAATTGTTTCTCGAATGGATTGCCTTAGCTCATTCAAATTTGTTGGTTTTGCTTTGTAGACTTCCTGCTTGCAATAACCCTACAAGAAGAAGTCAGGTGCAGTAAGGTCAGGCGACCTGGGTGGCCATCGGAATGTGGAGTTTCTGGATATCAGCTTATTGGGAAATTTTGACCGCAATTCTGTCATAACAGGTTGGGCTATGACACATAGAGTTGAAAGAAATTCTCATTCGGCGTAATTCTGGATAGAAAAACTCTCTCAACATGCTCAAGTAACGGTCTCCAGAAACCGTAACGGTGTGGCCGTTTTCTTCGAAGAAGTAGGACCCGACAATGCAGCGTGGTGAAACTGCACACCACTCTGTGATACGAAGTGGATGCAATTCCGTCTCATGGAGTATCTGTGGGTTGGAAGCACTCCATATTCGACAATTTTGTTTGTTTATGTTGCCGAAATGGGCTTCGTGAGACATGAAAAGACAGTTCAACATGTTTCCATCCTCTTCCACCATTTGAAGCATCTCCTGGCAAAATTCCAAGAAAATCGGCAAGTCTGCAGCGTTCAGTTTGTTGGAGATTTGAATTTTATACGGGAATAAGTCCAAATCTTTGTGCATAATTGACTGTAATGGCTGTCTGCTTACACCCATTTGAGCAGATAAGCTTCTTGTCGAAACACGTGGATTGTTTTGTATGGCAGCAGCTACAGCAGCGATTGTTTCCTCCGTTCGAACTGAAGGCTTTCGATGGTAAGCGTTTCTGTTGACTGTCCTATGCTCGGAAAAATTGTTTACAAGTCTCATTATGGTCCATCTGCTCGGAGGCTTGCCGCCAAACGTGCGCCTATACTCTCTTTGAATCGAAACTACGGACTCCAGTGCATGATAGCGGCGGACAATCCAAATTCTTGTTKCWGTGTCCCAGTTATCCACTTTTGTTAAATGTAAAAGTCAATCTGCAAAATAAAATAAAAATTAACCAGATTCATTAAATAGAAAAAAAATTATTTAATTTTTTTTGGTAGCGGCTTTCATCAGTCACCCTGTATGTTAAGGACAGTAGGAGATTTATTTGGAGTATCTAAAGGTATCATAAGTTATAACAGTAGTTTCGCACCACATATCATACTTAAAAGACCATCACATTTATATGCCAAAAAAGAGACCTGAAAAGTCCCAGATAGACTTTTTTAAATTAGATAAATTTCCTCGCGAGATCGCAGCAATTGATTTCACTCATGTAAAAATAATTCTCCAGTTAAAGAAATTCCAAAAAATACTTCTGTCAAAAACTTTTTATATACATAGAAAAAGTATATTTTTCATCAACGTCCAGACGTTATGTGATAGTAATCTCAGCATCTTAGACATCGTTGCATGGTGGCCTGGATCAACTCATGGTGGTACTATTTTCCGTAACTCTCGGTTTCATTGTCGATTAGAATCTGGAGAGTTTGGTTCTGGAATAGTCGTTGCAGACAGTGGTTATGAAAATAACGACTTCGTGATTATGCCACTAATGCATGTCAATACGAGTGGCGAAAGTCTTTTTAACGAGTCTCATATAAAAACTCGGAACTGTATCGTGCGGTCATATTAAGCTGGGCTTGCGCTTGCACCTAGAAAAAAACCCAAAGCATTATTACAACAGTAGTATTACACAACACCACTTCATATATGAAATTGAAAATACTGTAAGTAATATGATTAAAATACCCAATAATCGCACTGCTGAAAGTCATACAATAAATAATGTTACCAGAAAATGCTTAATAGATAATTACTTCAGTTTATTGTAGTTTAATAAATACGTTTATAATTTTACATATATTAATTTTTTATTTCACCCTTCCAGCTCATTTCTTCCAAATCTAATGAAAAATTTTTAATTCCTAATATAATAATTTTTTTCTTTCATCAACTTCGTTGATAAGTTGTTACTTTCTTCTAAAAGCTTCATTCTTTGTTCGTGCTACGCATATATTATTTTTATTTCCGCGTCATAATTCTCTTTCGTCCACTTTGCCTTCATAGTATCTACTAACTTTGCCCAAGCATTTTTCGCAGATCTTGTGTTTTCAACTTGATGATATCATATTTGTTCCAAAGCTGGTCTGATTCAACGTTTAGTGTAACGATTCTAAAAGATAGATTTCTTTGTAATGATTCTGAAATTTTTTTACTTGACATTCTTTACCGTTTATTCCTTTATAATTTTCCACTTCAGTCGTGTTCTCGAAATGCACTATGCTTTCTAATGTATCTTCCTCCAATATCACGGACTCCATATTAGAGAATTGATAAAATCATACATTTGAAACATCATGGAAATAAAATCAAGAGTATAAATTCAACATCAATATTTGCGGCAATTACATCATTGTTATACACACTCTGCATGCCACTAACTTGCTTCTCATGCAACACAGTCAAAAGCTTTCATTTCTTTGATGGTTACATCAAATATCAAATTCAGTTAAATAAAGAAATATTTTATCCTCTGCAACTCGC